AAAAAAACTTATTAAAAATAAAAAAAAACTTATAAAATAAAAAGACGACTATATAAAATTTTATTAGTTAATATTAGTATAAAAATAAATAATTAAATTAAGTTTTTGTGCAAAAAAAAAAAATGTAAAAAATCTTTTTTATTTAATATTTTGAGTTTTTAATTAATTATTATTTTAATTATTTTATACGACTGACTAATTTTTTTTATAAACGGATAAAATTTTTAATTAGTAAATTTCCAATTAATTTTTATAAAAAATTGGTAATACAGGTTAAAAAGAAATTCGATTCGGGTTTAACAAGATGATTTATTATTAAAATAATATTTTATCGGTATATAATATAATATTATTAAATATTAAGTCATATTATTAAAGTATTAAAGTATTAAACTCTGGTGTTTAATAACAAAATAAAAGTCAAAATAATTTTGATTGAATTGTCAGAAAAATTTTTGAATTTCATGATTTGAAAGAAATAAAAATGAAACTAATTTTATGTGAAATTCTGAGAAATATCGATCTCTTAAAACGAAGTAGTAAACAAATTATTATTTATCAGGAATTTCTGATGACATCTCAATTCGGACAAAGGTCAACAGACAGACAGACAAACAGACAGACAGACAAACAGGCACACAGACAGTGTGAAATCGATGCATATAAATAGATATAGATATGAACAGTTTGAGATAGATAGATAGATAGATAGATAGATAGATAGATAGATAGATAAATAGATAGATAGATAGATAGATAGATAGATAGATATTAACATTTTCAATCACTATTCTCTTGCATTTTTGCTTGAAAAATTAAATTAAATTAAATATGTTTAAAATGTATCTTAAAAAGTTTATTTATTTTTTTAGTTAATAATGGCGGGGATACCTGGCCTTGCTCGGGAGATTTCATGAAAAATAGTTTATCGACTATTGTTTGATATTTTCAGCCATTTTATTTAAAAATAAATTTTTATTCAATGTTTAAAAAATAAAAAATTTTTCTTTGTTTTTTTTTTTTTTTTTTTTTTTTTTTTGGTTTGTTACAAAATGACTAAATTTAGGAAAATACCAAACTACCAATGCCACGCCCTTCTGAGCATCCCCATATTTTTATTCAAAAATCAATTTATTTTCATAAAAGTTCATTAAACTTTTTTTCAAATTATTAAATAAAAAGTAAATACTCAAATTAAGTTTTATTTTATTTTAAATATATTTAATTGAATCATTTTGTTTAAGCAAAACCATAGCGATTTTTTACTTCTTCGAAAAATAATTATTTATATGTTTATTTTTGAGGGAATTTAGATTTTTTTAACTAAATAAAGTTTTTACTTTTAAAATATTATTACATTAAAGAAGCAAACATTTCTCTATAAATGAACTTAATTATTATTTTGAAAAGAGGAGAAGCAAGATACATTGAGAATTTTAGTTTTGAAAAGCGATTATTTGTAAATTTAAGTTATATTTCTATTTGAAAGTCCTTTTTTTTAATTAAAAAATTAAAATTAAAGAGACAGACATGACTTCAACATTTTGAAAATTTGAATATTCGTTTTACTGATTTAACTATATTTTATTTAAATTAATTTAAAAAACAAAATTTTAAAATTCGATATAGTTTTTGCTTTATTTAAAACTTAATTGAAAATGATTTACATTTTTAGTTTTTTTTTATGTTGTTTAATAAAACTAAAAAACAACGAAGTTTATTTTTAAAGATTGAATAAAAAAATTCTTTCCATAAGATGGCCGAAAAAATATTAATAAGTCAATAATCACACACACGTTAATTATTGTAGTTTTTAAGTTTTAGCCGGACACAATGAATATTTGAATAAATAAATATTAAATATTTTATCAAATTTTGTATTTAATATTCTTTTTCTTTTAAATTTTTTTTTTGTTGTTTTAATATTCGTTTTTTTTAACCTTTTTTTAAGTTACGCTTTTATTTATTATAGACGCGAAAATAAAATCAAAATTATAGAATTTTAAAAAATACAGATCAGTTCATTTAAAGAAAATTAAAATGGGGTAACATTAATTTATATTTCAAATTGAAAGCTAAAAATATAATTCAAAAGTAATTTTTTAATTGCAGAAGAGAAAAAGTGAAACTCGGTTTTGCTGGTGAAATTTTGAGAAATAAATATTTTTTTTTTTTTCAATTTTACATCAGAAATTTGAAAACCGTGTAGAGGATTTTATATCTGTGAGTAAATTTATTATAAAACCCCTAACATTTATATACAAAAAATATTTGTAAAATAGAGAAAGAGCAAGATATAAAACAAGAAAACTAGTATTATTTATTATTTGCTTGTTATATGGAGTTGGAGAGACGAGAGACAATAATAATGAGGAAAATTGTGAGTTTAGGTTAAATGTAGATCAAATATGGATCGAAATTCAACAGAAGATAAATAATAAAAAAAAACGTAAGGTTCTTTTTCTCGTATATATATATATATATATATATATATATATATATATATATATATATATTTAGTTGTGTGTCCAGATAATTTTGTTAAAAAATGCAAGATGTGTCTGAGGTTTTTTACCTCCAATTTAAAAAATGTTACTATCATGTCCTCCAAAACGAAAAGGTTGATTGAAATTTTCGTTGACGCACGTGTTAACGATTAGTCCGTGGGAACTGTTTGTCTGATAGGAGAATGCCATGTTCGTGTGTATAGTAGAGAAAAGTTGGGTCGATTCTCATTGTTTTAGAATGGGTGAATTAATGATAATTATAATTATTTTATTATAATTATTTTTGATACTAGAATCAATTTTATTTATTTTTATGATCAATGATCTAGGATTTAATTGTTTTATTTAAACACTTATTTGATAATGGAATAAACGATGTAAAAAAGGTTTTACCTAAAAACGTTGTAATGCATTTAAAAAAATGAAAAATCTTTCTTGAATCTTTTATTTTAGTTTTAATTTCAAGCTAATAGATTCAATTTATAATTTGCAATAAGTGAAATACTTTTGCTGCATTTCAAACTGAATTTAAATTGATTGAATCATTGTTTTTTGATTGTCAATAAAAATCGATAAATTTTTTTAATAATGAGTGGGTGTTTTTATGAGGTCTTTACAGATCTATCAACAAGATGACTTTTGGGAAATTTAAGTAAGGAGTGCATAACTGTAAAAATTACTTGATGAATACAATGTGAAGGCCTCTTTTTTTGTTTAATTAATTTGTCAATTACCCTTTATTATTAAAAATTTAAGAAAATATTCTAAACTATCTAATATTTTGTTGGATTTTAGGAATTTGGGCTTTATGGCCTTATTTACGAAAAGTCTTGCAAAAGAAATTTTAGAAAATTACCAATCAATTTTAAATTTAATAAATTCACCACCCATGATTTCTGATAATGTTGTGTTTTCGATTATAGAGCAATATTTTAAAAATCAACGGACACATACACAAGCACACACACACACATTTATACATATTAGCATAGATCAGTTCATGTTTTATTTTTTTTTTTTTGTTTTACTCAAGTTCCTCCAGCAAAAGATTTAAGAGCCACTCAATGCAGAGGGATACTGAATGAGGTTTGTGATATAAATTTAAGATGATTTAAGCTGGGGCTGAAGAAGAGACATGAACATAAACATTTTTCAATATTACGAGAAATTATACTTTACTGAAAACATTTATAATATAATCGTATCAATAAAGGCCGAATTATTATTATTAAAATTGAAATGTTTTCTTGTTTCAATATCGCACAAAAGAAGGAAATTTAAATCGACCCATATTTATCTAAATGAGCATTCATTTTGTTTTTATTGGATTCTTCAAAGGAAAAATGCCTGGGAATCACTGGGTCATAACGAACAGTCGCTTGTAATTTCTACCCTGACTAAAGCCAAAAATATGGCCACACCTGCCTAGATCTGTCTACATATCTTTCCTTCTGTCTGTCTATCTATCTCTCTGTCTGTCTGTCTGTCTGTCTCTCTCTCTCTCTTTCTCCTTCATTAACTATTTTATGCAATCTATATTTGCTTAAGAATTTGAATTGAAATTAAGACAGTGTGAGAGAGTCATGAAGCGGCAACGTTCTTTTGTTAAAAACAAAATGACTAATATTGAATGTTAAAGATAGAAACTCTCACGTTTAAAAAAAAAAAAACAAATGGAAGAAAAAGCTTTTGGTCTAAAGTAAAGAATTTTTACTGGGGAGGGATGTTTTTCTTAAGATTTTTAAAGAAAATTATATGCCCCCCAAAATTTGCTAAAGAAAAGGGATACAGGCTGAAAAAATGCCCAAAACATAAGAGCAACAAAATTATTTAGCTGTCAAAAAGGAAAACATAAAAATTAAGTAATTATGAAATGTATGTGCATGTATGTGCGTATGATATATATATATATATGTGTGTGTGTGTGTGTGTGTGTGTGTGTGTGTGTGTGTGTGTGTGATGGTTTGATCACTTAGGGGAAGGATATCCCCATAGGTGTCAATGGGTAAAGTGCTAGTATTACTTCGACTACATGCTATAAGTAAAGAAGAAAATATGAAAAAAAAAGACAGGAAGTGTCCTGTTTTTGTAGGTATTTAATAGCGTCATCTAAGAACATCTTGGCAAACCTGGAACGCAAAATTCTGTCAGGGTTTAACCTTCATTCCTGACTGTAATTTAACCAAAATGGAGATCATTTCAACTTGATGATATAAAAAATATTCCAACCTCACTTAAAGACACAAGCATAATCAAATTCCTAAATTTTATTATAACATATGAAAACCATATTTTTAAAACATTGATTTCTCGCCCGTCTGTTGACAGACAGTGACACAAATTTATGCTAACAGCTCAAGATTGAATTTTATTCATAAAACAATCATTACTTTGAAAAAGTTATTTCCTGAATACGTGTCTCATGAAATTTTGATTATAAAGAATGTACAAGAAATAAAATTTTCAATATGAAATTGTAGTCAAATTTTGGCAATGAGATTTGCTTATACTCATGTGACTTTCAGCATTACAGGATCCAGGGATTGAACTCGCTCAGCTGTTATCCTGGCTGTGTGTCTTTTACATGTATAACAAACAATATACCATCATGCCTGGCCAAATAACAAAACATATGATGTAAAGAAATTCATCTAAAAAATGTGTGACTTTATTTCATTCATTTTGTTCATTCATCCCAATAAAGTTGAAGAAAGATTACAACAACCACTCTTTAGTTCTATTACTAATCACTACTAACAATTTACAATAAATATTAACCACTTATATTATTATTATTGCCACCAACCCCCTTACATATTACTATCACACCACATCTACCATTACCATATAATCCTGCCATAATTATTAACGTAGACGTTGCCCGGATGCGGTTTTCGAACTGGCGAAGTTGCCACTCCAGGGTGGGGCTGCCCTCTTCCTTCCCTTTCGGTGCCTCCTGCCTCACCGACAGCGGACGAGGAAGATACTGCGGGGAGGCGGTTACGTGATATCGTAACATGCGTCGCACAGGCACACGTTTTGCTGACGCAGTGCGTGTCTTTGGATTGGCGGTGGCGTCGACAGTCGTCCGTCGTGATGACCCGGATGACCTCCACCTGGTCTCGTGTTTGGGTTGGAATCTCTTCTGGAATTTCTCGCAAGTCTGGCACAAAATTTTCTCGCATTCCTGGCACCAAATCTGGCCAATCGATTCTTCGATGGTAAGTCTAAGAATTGGTCTCTTCACTCACACTAGACGCCATATTGTTAGAAAACCCTTGGTCATTATAATAAAGGCCTCAACCTTTATATTATTTAAAAATTATAATAATCACAGGGAATTTATTTAGCGATGTCTATATGTCGTCAGTTTGAATCCATCTTCACTGGTTAGGGACAGGACCTGTATACGATGGATTCGTGTATCATTGGGTTACTCACTGAGTACAGGACGAGTGCCCATCAACACGTTATTTCTCTGTGCTTCCTCGCTCACAGGACGGTCCTCTTTCACTCGCATTATTCAGTAAATACTAACCAGCATTTAAGGGTGCTATATGAATTTAAACTATTTTCGTTTTAGTTTATGAAAATCTCATTCTCTCTTTCTCATTCTTTCTCTTTCTCTCTTATTCTCTCTCTCTTTTCTCTCTCCGTCAAGTTTAGTACTTCTGTTTACCGGGACTTGCTTCAGGAGTGCGAAAGAACAAAGGTACTGTGATTGAATTTCTAACGTTTAGTGGGTTTAAAAATGTTTCCACCCAAATAAAATATGCGTTTGTAAAAGTTATTTTTGTTTTATATCATTCAGTCTTTCAGTGGCCACCATGTATAAAAACGGAAGTGGGTTGGGCCGAGACGTGAACCCTGGTGGATGCCGGAATTGGATCTCATGGGCCTCGGAGGACCGGTCATTAACGACCTTATCTGTTAGGGAGGACTTCATAATTAAAGAACACTCCTCTGATTCCAAAGATGGAGAGCTTGTTAGCGCCCCCCCATGTAACACCTTATATTAAAGGACTTCGATTCGATAATCTAATGCAATCATCCCCGTAGTGTGTCTATTGTCTAAAGCAGTGTTTCTTAGCCGTATCCCCGAAACCTGGGGTTCCACAAGAGGTCACGAGGGGTTCATTGAGAAACAGTGATAAATAGGCTAATGCAATTTTTGTTTGATTTACATATTCGTCATTTTTTTAGCATGACAGTGAACCAGCCATCCAGGCAAATGACATAGCAATGGATTCAATATAGTCTTTCCACTTCATGTCTGCTGAGAATGTTAGCCCGAGAAGGCGCAAGGAATCATTCCCTGGAGGTTAGCATCAGCCATGGTGATGGAAGACAGAAAAAATCTCTTAAATTATTAATAGCGAAAAGTTTTGTTTTGTAGGCATTAAAATTAACAAGCCATCTTTTTTAACCCAGTTAACGACGGTCTTGTGGTCGTTTTGTACATAGACTGCTATTTTGAGCTTGTCTGACTGATCAGCCTTACAATCAAGACAAAAATAAATGGTAGTGTCATTAGCGTAGATGACAAGTTGAGAACTGACGTCAGGAAGGTTGTTAATGAAAATAAAAAACAGATGGAACCCAGGGGGACGCCCTGCATTAGTACGAAAGGATGTAGACGAGTGGCCGTTTGGGTGACGTTCATTTCACGATTTGATAGGAACGACTGGATCAGCTCAAAAAATGTGCCCGGAGATACCGTAGTGTTTCAACTTGAATATCAGACCCTGTCAAATGCTTTCGAGATATCTAATGCTACAGCCTGGGAGTCACCATTTTTTTTTCTAAAAACGATAGGCTCTTTCCGCAATTATCGTTAGTAGTTCAGCAGTTGATCTGGAGAAAACTTAAGCCGGGTTGCTTGTTTGAGAAAAGGTCCCGTGATGAGAGATGACGGACCAATTCAGCATTGATTAGGGCCTCTAGGGTTTTCGTAAGCAGAGGCAGAAGTCTAATAGGCCGATAGTTGAATGGGCCGGGCTGTTCAACAGAGTTCTTAAAAACTGGAACAACAGACGAAGACTTCTAACAAGCAGGAAAACAAGAGACAGTGAGGCATTTATTAGACAGTTTAGAGAGAACAGGAGTCAGTTCGGTAGTACTCTTCTTAATGACTATTACAGGGATGTCATCGGGTCCACATGCTTTGTGGAGATCAAATTAAAGATGATAGCAGAAATAATGAAAGATATTATATGCATATCCCTCAACAGAGAATCAGTTCTTAGTGGGAAGTTAGGCAGGGCTACTCGAGATGAGTCAAGAGTAGACTTTGAGGAGAATTAACGGGCAAAGCATTTATCAGCAGAGGATGATTCAAATTGCTTTATCAGCACCATCCTATTACAGAATAAGCGAGACCTTTTAGGTCTCAGCAAACAGTAGTAAACAAGACCTGTTATTTACGCGAGCTGTCCTGTCCCTGCTGGTATAGCCGGAAATAGTGGTTCCTGTGTGCTATGGCGGCCGAGCATGATTCATGTGAACTGGTATTTTCGTGAAGGGATGAAAACGTCCATGCTGGTTTTTGGACCAAAAAAACCTCAGCGGCGCATTCTTCAATCGGGAAGTTGAAGATGTCAGTCCAAAGGGCGTCACGAAGAAAATGCCGGAATGAATCCCAATGAACATGCCGGTACCGGAAAGATGGATACGGTGTTCCTGTTTAATGGGTGCTTGGAAAGAGATATAAATAGCTACCACAGAGTGGTCCCAGTTATCAAGAGGGCAATATTGTGAACCTAGGTAAGAGCTAGGAGATGAGGTAAGAAATAGATTCAATCGAGAAGCATGTTTTCTGTTTGGCTAGGGAAACGAGTGGAGAACTCCACGATTTTGAAGGAATGAGTAAAAAAAATTTAATGTCTGTGTACCGACAACATGAGTACCTTTAGAATGTTTCAGTCACGTGTCATGGTGAGCATTAAAGTCGCCGTAAACAAAGATGTCCGCAGATTGATGGAGAGAAAGTGCCTTTTTTCTATACTGTCAGCTATCGCGTTTAATATACTGTAGTTTGGGGAAGAGGGTGCGATAATGGAAAAAGAAAGTTGACAGAGTCTAGTAGTGAAAGACGGAAGCACATAAAAAAGTAGTCAGCGAGAGACAATTCTCTGGCCACCAGCAGATTATCCCGGATGTAAACACTAAGGCCATGCATGTGAATGCTGGAATCTTTTCAGCAAAGGGAAGATACCCTGGAACCAAGAATTCATTGGTCGCAATGGAATAATTTAAGTAGGTTTCAACAAAGGGCAAAGATATCTAACGACCGTTCAGGAGGAGGGATTCTACACTGCAGAAGTTGGAGCTGGATACCACCGAATATTGAAGAATGATTGATAGGGGTAGATGTTTTTTTTTATTAGTTTTAGTTTATCTTTTTATTTCCATGAGATATTTTTTTGGGGAAGAGAGAGGAAAAAGACCGCCATAATTGTACCTATCTGTCGTATAAATTTGAACCTTTTCCTAAATAAGTAATAGGTTGAATGTCTTTTTCTTAGCATTTTTTTTTTATCATATTTTCGAAATCTGCTCTTTCTTTTTAATAGATCTGTATTTAAAAATTACTTAAATATGATTTCTACTTTTAACAATACGAGTTATTTACGTTAGTCGTCGTCCAGATTTTTACTTTTTGTTAAAAACAGAATTTTTTCATAAATATTTATATAGAGTTAATTGTGCGATAAAATGCTAGATTACTCATGCAGAAAATATAAGCAATGTAATTACATAATTATCTAAATATGATCCTCCATTTTTGCCAGTGTGGGTCAACTACTGAGGTCATTCCAAAAGTAATGCCTCTATTTTAATATGCTGGCCTACTACCCCAGAGGTGGACGTTGGTAGTTTGGTAGTAGAGCTTTTAACTTTCCGCTAATAATTCACAATTTTTTTTTGCCTTGTTTCAAACGGCAGTCTGGCAAAATGACATCTGACATGAAAACGTACAAAAAAAAGAATTGTTGCATTGAAATTCTCCAGGCAAAAATCTGCACACGTCATTTTCATCGACTCTTGCTAAACAATTTTAAAAGACCAAACAGTGGATAGGAGCACAGTTAGAGCGCGCAGTTAATACGTTTTATCAGTTTTGAGCTAAGTTCCGGGCGACTCTACACAGCTGTCAACTCCTGAAGTGAAGACTGACTTGAAAATGCATAACCAATGGTAACAGCTGTTTAGAAAAAATAGTGATCTGTAGCTGAAAACTTGCTCTATCCGACGGTGCTATTATGCTCCGTGTAGCTGTTGTACTTTTCAGAGAAATGAGAGACTTTCCTTTCAGAGCGTCCTTCGAAGATTTTACATAAAGTAAGCCAAAATTATGTCATAGTTTGAAAAAAAATATACTGAAATAAAATTTATAAATATTGCAATAAATATATATATATATATAATTAATATTATAAGAGATTCTCTGCTCAATTTTCTCTAGGCTTGTAGAAATAGGAGTTATATAGACCTGTCTTTTCACATAGCTCCATAGAAAAAATATCATAAGGTGTGAAGTCAGGTGAACGTGTTGGTAATTTCAACAGCACATTGTCATTATCACTTGCATGTCCAATCCATCTTCCCGGTAGATTCTCATTGAGATAAGTCCGCACAGTGTTTTTACACATTTTGTTCAAATTTGAGATCATTTGGTTGAGAATTGGCTAGACTACAAAATGGTGCCAATTTTTTGGCGACACGCTGTATACACATATAACATACATATATAGGCTTAAAGATAGAATGAAGTGACACCCCGCTGCGTTAGCTGACCGCATAAACGTGAAAACATTAGAACTCCCACTAGACCGACACACATGCACAATTACGAATACACATATTACCACCCGATGCCCGCTTAGACATGCAAGAATCTTCACAGACTTAAACGCATATAGACTTATCTACGGTTGTAATCCACGTAATATGTGACTGACCAATGGAACTAACCCAAATAGAATTGAAAATATCAGAGTTTCTGTTTTTTGTCTGTTTTCCCTAAACCTCTGACGAAAATTTAATAAAAGTGAAACGTGTTAGATTGATATACGTTTCCTAGTTGTTCTTTTCTTTTATCATCCTGCCGGATTTTTTATCCATATTTTATCTGCATCTGATCTGTAACTTATATATATATATATATATATATATATATATATATATATATATATAATGAAATGGATTAAGTCCGACAATTATTTTCATATATATTATTGTTATACGTTATTTGTTTAAATCCTCTCTTTATAATAAGCAGTATTAACATTTAGCGGCTTGAATGTGGAGAATTTTATAGAAAATAAGCGACAAGAATCGAGCCTGTATCCTACACGGAACCGCCATATAGCCTGACGTGCTATACCAGTTTAGCTACAGAGGGCGTCTGGTTATATATATATAATTATGTTTTTAAAGTATTTTATTTTCCATGATTGCCCTCGAACGTTCATATCTAGTAAAGTTTTATCTTAATATAAACAAATGATGTCATATATTATGAAATGGACTAAGTCCGACAATTATTTTAATATACGCATATTTTCTCTGAAATTTCTTGGGCATTCAGGCCGGTAAATGTTGTTAATACTATTTATTATAAACAGAGCATTTACTTTTAATCTTTTGTGTCTATATAAATAACGAATAACTATACACACAGACACATTTACACACACATACATACACACACAATATATATATATATATATATATATATATATATATATAGTTATCATATATATAGTTATATAGATATATAGTTATTCGAGAAAAATAGGTTAAAACTCATCACTGTATTAAATTCTATTTTGAACAATAAATTTTCCAACTCATATGGTTGCACGAGAAAAACAAAACAACAAAGTATTGTCGGTGAGGCGGAAAGAAAAGAAAATAGAATTCTTTTTTCATTGCTGATATAGAGGATCTTATAAAAAATGTTTCTTTGTGGGCGAGAGAAGCAACCTGGAGGATGGGGAGAGTCGGTAGGACCTGGAGTTGAGTCTTGTGTCAGGTCGGTTGACCGAGATTACTGGTGGTGACGTTGATATCTTGCCCGCTCACCCGCGATTGTCGAGAGCGGCGTTCTTAAAAGCAGACAGTATGGATCATGCCTCAGCGTTTTTTGTTTTTTTTGTCATACTTTTAACTCTAGCGGCAACGCCCGCGATTGGCTCTTTTAAAATTGTATTTTATATATTTTTGGTAGTGATTTGTTTTGTGAGCTGGATGTGATATTCGGTGTCCCCTGCACAGACAGCGACTATTTAGCACTATTGTTTTTGCTTTCTTAGCGTTCACATCCATTCAAAAGATTTTGATGTAGAGGGAATCAAAAGGCTTCCGTCGTACATGACGTCCAAATCCTTTCTTCCGCCTAAACACCTGCTGTTCATCTGATGATCTGATGATCCTTATATCGTAAGTTCTATGCTAACAGTTTCTTCTCTCGCACTTCTCACTTATGGAATTCTTTTTCGGTTTTTTGCTTCCATATCAAATTTGATCCTCAAAATTTAAATACAATGTCTTCTTGATGTTCTTCTTTTATTGCCTTCTCTCCTATAGTGTTTTTTTCTTCTTATATTCTCTGAAACTCGGCAACCCCTTGCGTCTTAGTGGCTTTATTGCCTTGCTTGGGGTGAAATGCTTTTTTAAACAGTATAGCATAACAAGTTATTTTTGACGTTCCTTTTCGAGCCAATTCTAAATGAAAAAAAAATAAGAAAAGAAAAAAAAAACACTTTTAAACACAAAATGGCACAATTTTTAATAAGCGGTCTGTTACGCTTTGAGCCCTGTGTTCGTGAACAAGTTTAACCCTTCTGCCAGAGCTTCTGAGTCACAATTCGCAAATAATTGGTGTTTCACGGTAGATATAAAAATAGTTACAAGTGTTTACCCACCGTTCAACTAGTGCCTGGGCATTAAATCATTTTTCTCTACCACTGTTCAACAGGTGGCTGGGCATTACGTCATTTTTTTTCTACCACGGGTAAAGCGGTTGTCAGGGCTCAAAGGATTAATACACTTATACTAAAATGTATAAGATAAACACAGACGATTTAATATTTAATTATTTAATTACTCACACGGTTTAATTAATTATTATTTTAAATTATTTTATACTACTTATAATAAAAAAAATTATTAAAGAGATCTCGTTTGAAGCAGAATATAGCAATGATGTTAGTCCAATGAAAAATATGAATTTTTTTACACAGATATTATCTTACTGTAGTTGATATGAAAATGTAATTTGGGGAAAAATAATTGTTTTATTTTTTATGCAAAACAAATTTAGGCCCTGGAGGGATAAATGCGTTATTATATCAGGCAATTTGCCTCCACGGAGCGGAAAACAAGCAAAAGGTTTATAAAAGAATAAAAAAAAAAAGTAATAAGAAATATAATAAAATAATAATATTATATAAAAAATTCAACACATTTCCATTTCAGAAGGGGAAAAGATGGTGAAAATTGTTTTGAACAAATAATGTTAGTGGGAAAATTATCCAAATATAGCAACCATTTTGTGTGGGATGACAAAATTAATTAGGTTCGGAATTGGCAGAGTTAATTTAGGTTGACACTAATTTTGTCCCATACTGTTAAATGAAGAAATGACCTGACTTCATTGGATGTGGCTAATTTCTCTATGCTTCATATTACGGCCAGACCATGTTGAAACACCGACTACCGAAGTTAAGCAATGTTGAACCTGGCCAGTACTTAGATGGGTGACCGTTCACACATCGAGATACTGTAAGCTTGGATGTACAGATGGTGCGATGGATAAAGGTTCGGAATGAGTTATATTCGCTTATACGCAAACGCCTTTGGGAAAGGTATAAATCCACCTCTCTTTACGTTTTATTTTCTACGGTTTATCAACCTGTTGCTGGTTATTTTAAGCCAGAAAATATTTTTAGATTATAAGAATTTTTTTGAGATAATGATGATTTAAGCTTAATAATTAATCAATAGTTGGAGGAGGAATAGGTTTCAATACCTTTCAAATGAAATCTTGATTCGTAGATTTTATAAGCATTTTGTACTGTTTTTGCCTTTGCTTCGCGAAGAAACGATGAAAAGGCAATTCATAACAACTACTACAATGTTAAAATGTTAATTCGTTTTCTACGGCTTATCCGCTCTAAAGCCAGAAAATATTTTTAGGTTATTAGGATTTATTTGGAGATAATACTATGAATATCAAGTGGGGGATCAATTCTATATAACAATCATTATATAAACTGATCCCTAACTTTGTGGTCACAGTAGTTTCTATATATTTATATTCCAGAGAACATAATTAAATCCTAAAGACATCCCTGTGTTGTATTTCACTGATTGATTCGTTTATCAACCCTTTGAAGGTTATTTAAAGTCAGAAAATATTTTTAGATTATTAGGTTTTATTTGGTGATAATAATATGAATATAAAGTGGGGGTTCAATTCTACATTACAATCATTATATAAACTGATTCCTTACTTTGTGGCCACAGTAGTTTTTATACATTTCTATTCAAAGAATGTAAATAAATTTAAAATACATGACTGTGTAGCTAATCAGCATTTAATTGATTCGTTTATTACAGCTTATCAATCATTTTTTGTCATTGGGAAAAAAAAAAACAATGTAATGCCAAGTCTTATAATGTTAAAATTTAAAAATTCAAAGCAGATGGGTTTTATAGCTGGGGATATTTTATTATGGCTAAAATATTAGTTTGACTAATTTCTTTTTTATGAAATAGTTATAATAACGAATAAACCGTTTTAACTAATAATAACTGGTAGTTAACCTGGATTAGACGTTTATCCCTTGTTTCCTGTTAAGGATTAGGTCTCAGCTTCTCCAAATGTCTACTTAAACATAATACTTCTAACGACTCCTCCTAAAATCTAGAAATTTGATTTACTGTTTATTCGTTGAAGGAGTAGAAAGGTTCGCCTATTGCCCGGTTAACCTGCCTTCCCCAAGTCTTCTGAACAGGAGAAGAGTTTCATTCTTTCTTTACTGTTCACGATTATATTTCTGGTTTCTCTATACTTCTAATGTCTATGTCTAAACTCTAACATTTGATTTACAGTTTATTTGTTTTCTTAATTCACTAGGAGCAGATAGGTTCGCCTACCGCTCGGTTCATATGCCTCCCCCGGTCTTTTGAACTGGAGCAGAGTTTTATCCCTTGTTTCCTGTTTAGGACTGAGTTTCCGGTTCCTTCCAAAATCTATATCAACTCTATATATCTAGAGTATCTGCCTAAACTCTAACATTTGATTTACAGTTTATTTGTTTTCTTAATTCACTAGGAGCAGATAGGTTCGCCTACCGCTCGGTTCATACGCCTCCCCGGTATTTTTGAACTGGAGCAGAGTTTTATCCCACCTTGTTTCCTGTTTAGGACTGAGTTTCCGGTTCCTTCAAAATCTATATCAACTCTATATATCTGCTATATCTGCCTAAACTCTAACATTTGATTTACAGTTTATTTGTTTTCTTAATTCACTAGGAGCAGATAGGTTCGCCTACCGCTCGGTTCATTAGCCTCCAGGGTCTTTTTGAACTGGAGGAGAGTTTTATCCCTTGTTTCCTGTTTGGGACTGAGTTTCCGGTTCCTTCCAAAATCTATATCAACTCTATATATCTAGAGTATCTGCCTAAACTCTAACATTTGATTTACAGTTTATTTGTTTTTCTTAATTCACTAGGAGCAGATAGGTTCGCCTACCGCTCAGAGTTCCATACGCCTCCCTGGTCTTTTTGAACTGGAGCAGAGTTTTATCCCTTGTTTCCCTGTTTAGGACTGAGTTTTCGGTTCCTTCCAAAATCTATATCAACTCTATATATATCTAGAGTATCTGCCTAAACTCTAACATTTGATTTACAGTTTATTTGTTTTCTTAATTCACTAGGAGCAGATAGGTTCGCCTACCGCTCGGTTCATACGCCTCCCCCGGTCTTTTGAACTGGAGCAGAGTTTTATCCCTTGTTTCCTGTTTAGGACTGAGTTTCCGGTTCCTTCCAAAATCTATATCAACTCTATATATCTAGAGTATCTGCCTAAACTCTAACATTTGATTTACAGTTTATTTGTTTTCTTAATTCACTAGGGAGCAGATAGGTTCGCCTACCGCTCGGTTCATACGCCTCCCCGGTCTTTTTGAACTGGAGCAGAGTTTTATCCCTTGTTTCCTGTTTAGGACTGAGTTTCCGGTTCCTTCCAAAATCTATATCAACTCTATATATCTAGAGTATCTGCCTAAACTCTAACATTTGATTTACAGTTTATTTGTTTTCTTAATTCACTAGGAGCAGATAGGTTCGCCTACCGCTCGGTTCATACGCCTCCCCGGTCTTTTGAACTGGAGCAGAGTTTTATCCTTGTTTCCTGTTTAGGACTGAGTTTCCTACTGCTCGGTTTCCTTCCAAAAATCTATATCAACTCTATATATCTAGAGTATCTGCCTAAACTCTAACATTTGATTTACAGTTTATTTGTTTTCTTAATTCACTAGGAGCAGATAGGTTCGTTTCCTACCGCTCGGTTCATACGCCTCCCCGGTCTTTTGAACTGGAGCAGAGTTTTATCCCTTGTTTCCTGTTTAGGACTGAGTTTCCGGTTCCTTCCAAAATCTATATCAACTCTATATATCTAGAGTATCTGCCTAAACTCTAACATTTGATTTACAGTTTATTTGTTTTCTTTAATTCACTAGGAGCAGATAGGTTCGCCTACTGCTCGGTTCATACGCCTCCCCGGTCTTTTTGAACTGGAGCAGAGTTTTATCCTTGTTTCCTGTTTAGGACTGAGTTTCGGTTCCTTCCAAAATCTATATCAACTCTATATATCTAGAGTATCTGCCTAAACTCTAACATTTGATTTACAGTTTATTTGTTTTCTTAATTCACTAGGAGCAGATAGGTTCGCCTACCGCTCGGTTCATACGCCTCCCCCGGTCTTTTGAACTGGAGCAGAGTTTTATCCCTTGTTTCCTGTTTAGGACTGAGTTTCCGGTTCCTTCCAAAATCTATATCAACTCTATATATCTAGAGTATCTGCCTAAACTCTAACATTTGATTTACAGTTTATTTGTTTTCTTAATTCACTAGGAGCAGATAGGTTCGCCTACCGCTCGGTTCATACGCCTCCCCCGGTCTTTTGAACTGGAGCAGAGTTTTATCCCTTGTTTCCTGTTTACGCCCCGGGACTGAGTTTCCTGTTTAGGACCGGTTCCTTCCAAAATCTATATCAACTCTATATATCAGAGTATCTGCCTAAACTCTAACATTTGATTTACAGTTTATTTGTTTTCTTAATTCACTAGGAGCAGATAGGTTCGCCTACCGCTCAGTTCATACGCCTCCCCGGTCTTTTTGAACTGGAGCAGA